AAGTAGCTTGAACCCTCAGGGTTTAGTTAATACTTCTAATAATCACTGTGTACTTTGATTAAACCCTTGCAGTTCACTTTTGTTCTTTTAATCAGCATTCTCCTTTAGAATTTGTGCTGAAGGAAATAAATACAAGTAGAATTTTTTTTTCACACAATGTGATTAATGCTCTGCTGGAATTTTCTGTGTTACTTGAAACTTTCATAGCCTTGGGCTTGGGGAATGATTTATTTGTACTCCCAATTTGCTATGAATGCTTGGTGTGGATGTTGCTGTTGTTTTCTCCTGTCAGGGCTGAATCTTGTAGCAGGTTTTGCTGCATAAACGACCCTTCCTCAGCAGGTTCTTTGGGTTGTGTTCGAATCTTGTGCAGTTCACCTTGAAAACTCATAATATTGCTGATATTTGGATGTTTTTCTGTAACCTTTTCAAACTGAAAAAGGCTCCTGTGCTTTGTTCTAGGTCGTGAAGTGGTCAGACTATTGTTCACCGTTGGCCTATAAACCTGGTGAACCTTTTAAGTTAATTGCTGAAGCAAGTGTAGATAATTTCAGTAGCCTTGGAATAGCATTCTTGGAAGACAGGCTTCAAATGGATAATGGAATGGTGCCACACAAGATTGTTTGTAAGTATTTCATGATGGTTTTTAACAGCAGAACAGGTTTTGTTTCGTGGTTATTTGAGGACTTTGCATATAGTCTTTGTACCTGCTTATAAAAACTTGCATTTTATTTTGGCTCAGTGTTTTCTTGAGGCAGTTGATGACTCTGTAGCTCGACTGTGTTTTCACATGATGCTTTGGGTTGGAAGGGACCTAAAGATCATCCCATTCAACCCCCTGGCATGGGCAGGGACACCTTCCACCAGCCCAGGCTGTTCCAAGCCCTGTCCAACCTGGCCTTGGACGCTTCCAGGGATCCAGGGGCAGCCACAGCTTCTCTGGCCAACCTGGGCCAGGGCCTCACCACCCTCACAGGGAAGAATTGCCTCCATTTTATACTGAATATTATCAAATATAGAGATCCTTGTAAAGCTGAACACCTTCCCTCTTTATAGAATGTCTTATAAAAACAGTAACAGAAATAACAGCAAAATGGATCTGAAGATTTTTGGGCAGTAACAGAAATAACAGCAAAATGGATCTGAAGATTTTTGGAATAACCCCCTCCCCTTTTTGTTTAAAGCCTCATAAGCTACTACCAATAATTAACCTCAGTATGATGAGATCTCCAAGTACCCAAGGTGGTGTTTAACCATTTGCAAATGCGTGATTGTGTGACTGTCACAAAGATGAAGTTAAAAAATATTGTTTCTGTAAATCTTGGCTGTTACATTAACAAATGTGTCCGAAAAAAAAAAACAAAACCACCCAAAAAACAAACCCAGAAGTTTTGAGGCAGATGTTCTCTTCTTTTTCATATTTGAAATAGAAGTGTATTAAAAGCTAAACGTGGGTTGAGAACAATTTGGTGTATTTTTTTTTGCTTGCTTTGCTGGTTTTTTGGGGTTTTTTTTGGTTTTTTTTTAATGTAGATCCAGGAGAATGGGGCTGGTGGGGGCTGGTGATGGAATAACATGGAAGCTGGCAACTGGGAAATTCCCTTGGGATATCAAGCAACCTTGCTTCAAGCTTCTTACTCCAAAGGGGATATAGTTTCAAGGGAATGCAAGTGTTGTTAAGTGAAGAAAAGGATTGAACTTGCATCTGCTGTATTGTAACAAAACTTTGTTAAGCAAGTTTCTCTTTGAATTAAAAGCACAGTAAGTTTATTTGGTCTTGTATGAGTGGAAAAGGATTCAGTAAATTTTCTCAGACTAAAACTTGAAATATTTTCGTGGCTCAGCAGCTGAAAAAACCCTCCCTTTTGAAGAGTATTTTTGTCTCCTCTTTCGTAATTAGTTTGCTCTGCAAGTTTCATGCTGACAATAATCACCTTTGCTCCTTTTTTCTTACTTGTGTTTGCTATAAATTGTTTATCTTTGCCATTCTGTTGTTTTCAGGGGGAGAAAAGGGAAGGTTTAACAATTCTTCCTATTTGCTTCTTATTTCCTTGGATATAAGCTCCCAGATCTTGCTGGTGGTGGTTCTCTCTCCCTTTCTGCAGCCTGAAAGCATTTCAGTTCTTTTTTTCACTCCCTTTGCTTGTGCCAAACCTTTATCTGCAGCCTTCAGCAATGTTCAATATCTCAGTCTTGCCCAACATCATCACTTTATTAGCTTATTTCAAAATAGTTTATTTCAAAACAGTTTGTTTCAAAAGAGCAGCAAGTGACTTTCCACCCCGCTCTACTTAAAAGATCAGTACTTTTCCCAAGGTGTTTCATTTGCTGCATTTTGTCCTTTGAAACAAAGAGCCATTGTAAGTTGAAATTTATTTTCTTCTTGGGGGGACATAGGATTTGGTGTCAAACAAGTGAAATTTATGCTGTTGTAGGTGATTTGTGCTGAAATTCAATGAAATCCTGCTCTGTTAGTAATATTTGTAACAGCTATTTTAATACCATTTTTCTAACCCCTGTTTTTGTATCCTTTACCTTTCCCAGCTGTCCATTTACAGGAATCTGCTCTGAAGGAGCTGACACAGGAGGCACCACCCGTGAAAGAGCAAAGCACACAAATGGATGGAGTAACTCCTGCTGGGACTGCTGTTAAATCAGGATTGGGAGGACAAAGTGAAGAGGAGAAATCCAAGCCAGAGGAGGAAGGTGATCACGAGGATGAGCCCAACAATCTGTCTGGAGAACATCACCACTTGCATCTTTCCAGCTGCCACGAGTGCCTGCAGCTGGAAAACAGCACCATTGAATCAGTTAAATTTGCCTCTGCAGAAAACATTCCAGAGCTTCCTGATGATTCCAGCAGCAAGCTGGAAGAGGAGAAGGATGACTGTCTAGAAAAAGGGATGAAGAGGGTGAACCTCGCTGGGAAGCCCCCCAATGTGTTGATTTACCTTGGCTCTGAAAGGGCCAAAGGGAAATTCGAGCAGGTCAGATCAATCCTTCAGGAATGCCTCGATGCCGAGAGCTACACCATCTACCAGCTGCACCAGGAGCAAGTGCTGAGAGATCCCTGGATTGACAACTCCCTGCTGCTGGTCATTGCCACAGAGGAACCTATTTCTGAGGGGAACCACAAGCAGTTCATGAAATTTTTGTCTAAAGGTGGGAAGATTCTGGGGCTTTCTTCGTCCTTCGCTTTTGACGGCGTTCGGATAAAGCGGAAAAACAAGCTGAGGAGGACTGTCCACGAGCTGGTGGTCTCTGAAAAGGACAGCCCTGAAATGAAGCTGGATCTCATGGTCAGTGGCTGTGTTTTTGAGGAAGGAAGGAAGGAAGACACTGGCAAAGTGAAGACGTTGTGTCGGTTAAATAACGCTGAGAAAGACCCGGTTATTGTTCATCTGACTCACGGAGACGCTGGAGGAGAAGCCGTTCTTTGCCAGGTACTGTGCATGTGGAAGGATTAGTTTTCACATTGCTACATGGGAAAAGTTCACTTCTTCCCACTGCATGATTTTGGGGATTCCTGTCAAGGAGAGAAGCGTGAAATGGTTTGGGTTGGGAGGGACTTTAAAGATCATCCAGTTCCAGCCCCAGCCATGGGCAGGGACACCTTCCACTAGCCCAGGTTGCTCCAAGACACATCCAGCCTGGCCTTGGACACTTCCAGGGATCCAGGGGCAGCCACAGCTTCTCTGGGCAACCTGTGCCAGGGCCTCCCCACCCCCTGAGGTGCAGATGGATGTGTTGGTGGAGGTACAAGGGCTCTGAATGCAGAATGGTTTTCTTTTGATCTTAAAGAATGCCACTGCTGTTCCACTTCCCTGTTTTCACCACAGAGCCAGGCAGGTGGACCTGAGTAAAGATCAGAGGGTGGTGGAAGAAAGAGCAGGTTTGCATAGTGAGCAAGAGTCTTACTTATCAATCCATGCAAATATCTCCAAGGTGGGTGCCAAGAAGATGGTGCCAAATTCTTTCCAGCGGTCAGGACAAGGAGCAGTGGCCATCAACTAAAACACAACAACTTCCACCTCAACATGAGGCTTTCCATGGAGGGTGGCAGAGCACTGGAACAGCTGCCCAGGGAGGGTGTGGAGTCTCCCTCTCTGGAGACATCCCAAACCCCCTGGATGTGTTCCTGTGGCACCTGCTCCAGGTGCCCGTGCCTTGGCAGAGAGTTGGGCTGGGTGATCTCCAGAGGGCCTTTCCCACCCCAGCTATTCTGGGATTCTGTGATCCTCAGGAGCAGAGCTTTCCTTTTCTACCTGCTGGAGGTTGTGCAGTGACAGAGGCAGGAATTCTGCAGATTTTGGGAGGCAGGAACAGGAAGAGTGAAATTGGAACAGGCTTGGGGTGAAAGCTCATACTGGCAAAATAAGAAAGAGTCATTCTTACTAAAACATGAACTGTGATGAAGCAAAGAGTGTAAAATAAACCCTGCTGGAAACTTGCTTTTATATTTCCCAAGTCTGTCTTCAGGCTTTAAAGTTTTAAATGTTTAACATTCTGTTACTTATCAAATAGCTCAGAGCACCTGGGGGAGTGAATGAGCCAAAATCTTACTCATTCCACTTAGAAACAATATCCCAGCAAAGAGATGCCTCTCCAGTGTTAGGGTGTGATCTCTGGTAAAAGAGAAAACCCAACAGCCAAACAAAACCCTCAAAAAAATTAAACAACAGAGAAGTTCAAGTGTTCATAATGTTTTTTGTTAATGTTACTCTCTGTGGATAATGGTTGTCTTAAAGGTAAATGTTTATTTAAATATTCACAGCTGATTATTTAAATATTCACAGCTGTAAGTTTTGAGTGATGGAAAGGTTGATAAGAAGTACCACCAAGTTTAGAAAATAAGTGCATGCCCTGGAAGTATGAATCTACCAAGCACATTGAGAAAAGCAGAGCAAGATTTATTTACCAGTGTTTAAGTAAATTAAATTAAGGAATATAGTAGAGACACAGCTTTATGAAAGGTTGTGTTTTTACCAGTATTTTAGGTAGAGGAGAACTTTCTCAGGAGCCCAGAGCACTCAAATTTCACTGCTCACAGATCAGGTATCAATACTTTTCTAGCAATTATGTAGTTCAGAAACATTCCTGGGCTTTCTTAGAACTGTTTCCATCTCTTATCAGTTTATCAGGTTAAATCTACTCGGGTTTTGTAAACTGTTAGATGTAGTAGCATGTTTAGAGCTATTTTTTTTTTTTGGAAGGCAGCTTTGCCACCCCTGTGCTGGGTGCTTGGACTAGAAAATCGATTAGAAACTGTTTCTGCAAGCTCCAGGGTAAACCCTGCTCTGCTGCAGCCTTTCAACTGACCCTTCTGCTGTAGTAAAACTTAATACTGCACAGGTTTTCCCCCCTCAGAGAAAAAGGGCATTACAGCACAGCTTCAAAAATCAGATTAAGAGGATTAGGGTGTCATTTTATAATCCTAAATGACTTCCAGGGTGGATTTGAAAAGCCTTATTGTTTTCTCTTCAGGGGACAGGCAGTGACATCAGCCAGTAAATATTCTGTCACAGAAATGTTCCCCTTGGTTTTATACTCTTCTGGTGTTTGTGTCCTGCCCCCATTTCTGTTTTTTATAGTCATGGAATGGTTTGGGTGGGAAGGGACCTTTAATATCACCCAGTTTCACCTCCTGCCATGGGCAGGGACACCTTCCACCAACCCAGGTTGCTCCAAGCCCCATCCAACCTGGCCTTGGACACTTCCAGGGATCCAGGGACATCCACTGTCATTCATTTCCCTGAATTTCAATAAAGCAGATCATATAGGAAACATGAGGAACATCATTAAACCGTGCAAAATTGAAGAAATGAACAAAGAAAAGCTTGTGATTTTCATTAAATGAATCTGCACGTAGGAGAGTATGAGGTCTTCTAAATATCTTGGAACAATTATTTAAAAAACCAACCAAAAAAATACCTCACAAAAACCATCAAACACAAAAAGAAAGCCAGAACAAAGGAGGTCTATAAAGGATTTCTTTCTCCTGTTTTATTTCATTTCTGCTTTTAAGCATCTGCTGCAGCCCTGAGGAGTGATTCTCTACCAGGTGAGAAAGTCATTTTTTTTGTCAGAAGCATTTCTTGATCTGCACTGATTTCACCTTAATTCATGTGACACAGTAAGGACTTCTCTGAGTTCTTCAGATCTTCTGCAACCTCTGGTAAAGCTCTTTCAATTTTAATGTAATTTTTTCTCTGGTACAAGCCAGAATATCACCTATCTTGCTGTTGGTTCTGGCAGACATGAAGAGTAGAAGGATAAACTTCATGAGTAAATACAAGTTTGAACATCTCCTCCAGGAAAACCCCAGTTTATTAAGAAGGGATATTTTGGATAGATTTCACAGAAAATTGTAGTGGGTTGGCAGCTGTGATCTTTGAACTGCAAACTGATTTTTTTTATTCCCTTTGCCAGGCCCACTTGGAGCTGGACAGCAATTCCATGGATGTCCAAACCGAAGAGGATTTTAATTTACTGAAGATGAGCAACACCAAGAGATGTGAAGTTCTCAAGGAGATCCTGGTGTCCCTTGGCCTGAGCTGTGAATTGAGTGAACTTCCCACCCTGACACCTCTTTACCTTCTCTCTCCTGATGAGGTAAGTTCTGCTTAGTTCAGTTGCCTGAGATTTACCCTACAAGACAAATTCAGTGTTCTCCTAAATCCACCTCGTGGTATTTTTGTTTGGAGAGGGTTGTGCAGGTATTACAGGTAAGCAAAAAGTTTAATTTCTACTCTGTTTCATTACCTGTTGCTTATAATTCTGAATTTCACCACGGGGGAATTCATTTTTCAGCTATATTTGCTATATTTCTATCTATTGCTGTATTTTTATTTGCTGTATTTCAGTTAAGAACTTTTTGATGCTTCTGCAATATAAAAACACGAGACTTTTTACTGAGCTACTGAAAGAACTGATTTAAAAGACAGAATCTGGTTTTCTTTTAAAACCAGGCAGAAAGTTCTGTGTAATCTGGTGACAAAAATCAAATGCAAGAGGTGGAGAAAAGTCTGGAGTGAATAGAGAAAAGTGTGTGATTACACAACCAAGAGCTTTATTCCTGAGGATAATTGGAATATTTCCTGGAAATTCCCAAGAATTGATCATCTATTTGTGTGGCAGATGTGGCAACAACACTAAAACCCATTTAATCTTTTTTAACTAATATTAAATGTGCACGAGGTTTGTAGTTTATTGAACTCTTCAGTTTTTTATTCTTCTCCTCTTCTTTTTCCTGATCGTTTCTTTCCTATGCCCTTGGAATTTTCAAACGTGCCATGAGTTAAAATTTGGCTAAATTTTTATCCAAACTTGCCATCTAGTGGCACATCCCAGGGTTGCAGGCCATCTAATAAAGGTGTTTTAACTGTATAGTTCAAGTTCATACCAAAATAAGGGTTTTTTAAAATTTTATTCACATTTTTCAATGCGAGAATGTGATTTTTATTGTGGATTTTTTTCACATTTTTGGTGGTAACTTTGATTAAAAAAATAAGGCATGTGTAATAGTTTAGCTTTCTCACAAATTATGTATTTTTCTCCACACATCATGTTCTCCATAGATCTCCTTGCTTTCCTAGAGAGACAGGAGATACCAGAAAGGTGCCTGAGAGGAGAATAATTTGTGGAAGTACTTAATTTTTTTAAAAACAGAGAGAGTCAGCAGTATTGGAAATACTATTTGTATGGAAAGCTTGTCCAGTACAACTCACTGGTTTGGATATTATATAAATTATACCATATATTATATTTTATTATATTATATTGTCTCTAAGACTTGGCAGTTCATGAATGATTCCTCACCCCCAAACTGGAGTTTCCACCTGCACCATTATTTTATTTAAAAACTGCTGTTAGACCTCACCTTGTCACATTTTTCTAATTGATTTTACACACTACAAGGCTTTTTTTGCACATGTGGAAGGAATAAAAATGGATTTTGCTCTGATTTTTTTTTATTCCATTAAGAAAAAATACTAATTATTGAGGAGGGGTTTTTGTCATTTTTAAATTCTTTGAACTTAAGGTGAGTTTTTTTCTTTTTTGACTTTAAACTTAATTTTACAGCAGAGCTCTGTGTGGTTTCCTTGGTGGTTCTTCCCCTTCCCTGCCCTGTTTCCCCTTTTATCACTTCAGAATTTCCATCAGATTTACGTTGGGAACATCAAATACAACTTTCTCAACTGGATTTTATGGACAAGAAGCTTCTCCTGTCTTTTCCTCTGCCTAAAATTCCTGGAAAATCTGTGTCTTTTTGCATCA